TGTAATTAGGAGGGTTTTTTTTTTTTTTTGGTAGCCTGATTAGTGCAGCTGAAGAACCTGTGCAGAAAGCCTGCAGGGTGAACACATTCCCGGAGGACTGCCCCCTTTCCTCTCTCTCATGTGTCTCTCGTCTTTGGCATCTGCTCTGACTATATTCCTACTCTTTCTCTCATCATCCTCGCTAAGGGGCAGAAGGCACGTTGATTGACAGGTCATTCTCTAAGGCCTTATCCAAAAGCAGGTGGACTGTGCCAAAACACATTACTTCAGCACAACCGGGAAAAAGAGAGGAAAAACACACAACGTGAGGGGGTAAGATAGAGAGATGAAGAGATCTGGAGAGGTGATAATGGCTGAGAGCTGATTTTTTAAACACACGTTGTCCCACAGCAGAAACAGCAGCTGGACTAAATCTCATTGAGACAAAGTTAAAGGACAGACACACAAACAAACAATGCACAGTTACAGAAACTAATGCATCTGAGACATTACCATGTAAACATTTCTTGATGAAATACATAAGATCATTGCTATCATAACATTATACAGGTAATTGACAAAATTACATGGACAGGATTTTTTTTTTTTTTAAAGCAATGCACCAATGTACAGTATAAGCCAATCATCTGTATTGGCCAGTAAAAGTGATTATCAGACATTGGCAAGCAATGATCAGCCAAACAGCCAATGATCTGAGCCAATTATGACACGTCAATCAGAAGGCTCTGGTAGTACAGTTTGAGGTCAGTAAGATTCTAATATTTTTGAAAGAAGTGTCTTATGCTCAACAAGGCTACATTTATCTGATAAAAAAAAAATCTGTAAAAAGGTAATATTGTGAAATATTATTACAATTTAACTTTTTTATCATTTTATTTGAATATATGTTAAAATTGTATTTATACCTGTGATCAAAGCTGAATTTTCAGCATCATTACTCCAGACTACAGTGTCACATGATCCTTCAGAAATCATTCTAATATGCTGATTTGATGCTCAAGATACATTACTTATTATTATCAATGTTGTAAACAGCTGTGCTGCTTAATATTTTTCGTGGAACCATAATACTTTTTTCAGGATTCTTTAAAGAATAGAAAGTTCAAAAGAACAGCATTTATTTGAAATAGGAGTATTTTGAAAATGATAAACGTCTTTATTGTCACTCTTTACTGTTACTTTTCTAAATAAAAGCATCAATTTCTATCTTACTGTATCTTACTGACCCCATTTTTTGAACAATAGTTTATAGAACAGTAGTTTAAAGTACTTCTTATTGAGTGGGAAAGAGAAAAATGCTGAGATGCTTACAAAGACTGCAGGGCAGGGAGATTCTTGAGAGCTGCGCTTGGGACAGTCTTCAACTGATTGTTCTGAAGCATCCTGAAAAATAAGTTTAAAATGCCACCATTATGTACTGTGTGCACATCAATGACACATCACAGCACAACACAATACAATACATATACACTTCTCTTCAAGATTTCACCACAAATATAACCACTATATTAGCTCTAGTATTGATTTAATGTGTTTGTGTGTGTGTCTCGTTCTGAGCTAATCATGGTGCATATCTTGCTTCCTCTACCCTATCAGCTCTCTGGCGTCACTCAAATGGCATAGGCCGCGAGGACAGCTTTTCCTACTCCTGTGCCAAGCCACAGCACACGCAACTACACACTAACACACACATACGGTTACATACACACAGCCCAGCCAAGAGGCATTCACAAACACATAACCACAGTAAATAAAAACTGGTCCCAAATCATCTCCAACATCTATAGTTCCAAAGCCAATGGCTTTTGGTCCACAATCAGTTTCCCTAACTCAATTCTCACAACAGTGTCTGGATGAGCTGTAAGAGCACCATGGGGCTTTGAAATAGCCCTGGATGAGGACAGGAAGAGGAAAATTAGCTTTATGTAAAGCATGGCTGAGGGGACCGGGCTGCTGATAAGCTGCATTTGAATTGGCTCACAAACACCTGAAGGACAGAATATGAGTTACAGCAAAGAGAGAGAGGGAGAGAGAGAATGCATCATGATGAATGGTACTCCATCAGACACTGACAGACTTGCTGATCCAGTAGCAGCGAAATTCCTGTAACACAACACCACTTAACAACTCAACAAAACACACAGCAGGATCTACTTCTTTCTCACTGCACTGTACAAGATCTTCTCACTGGGTGAACGAGTTATCCTGTATCAAATAGAGGTGTGTGTGTTGAATACTTACAGAACTTTAAGCTGATGGAGGCCAGACAGAGCCTCTGGGTGGATGAATGCAAGGTCATTACCAGCCAAACGTCTACGGAGAGAGAGAGAGAGAGAGAGAGGGAGAGAGAGAGAGAGATACTTCATTTCAGCTAGACTGCAAAAATGTCAGATATTCTGATGGAAAGCTGGAGAAAGGGTGTCAAAGGGAGTGAAAGTGAAGTTATGAGTGGTAAGGAACAGTGAAGAAAGAGTGATTTAAAAACTACGCAGGATGAGATGTTGTAAAATGCGGAGAAACGCACAACTGCAACATTCATTTTTAAATTTACCCTTCACTAAGCACCACCTTAAGGCTGTGTGTCCACCAAAGCATTTTCAATCAACTGAAAATGCCAGATGCTCTGCTGAAAACGCCTAGCTGTGAGTGCTTGAGAGTGCTTCTGCGTTTTCAGTTAAGACGCTTTGGTTGGTATGATACGGAATATCCGCTAAAGTAATATGACACATCACAAATTAAATGTTTCTCCAAGCATTAATTTCATAATTTTGTGGTAGTCCGGGAATTCCATCTGGTGAAGACATGAATACTCGGAGACAAACAATATTAACTTCTCCATTGTTATTCAGTCGTAGTACAAGCAGGGTGTGATGGTTGGTCGGTGTGGTATTAGTCCCACCCCTTCTCCACTGTGATTAGCTGACTAAAAAGTGACAGTGATGAGTGCTGCATTTTACCCAAAGTTGAACTATCGTCGCTGAGAAAAAAAGCCAGACGCACAGTACTCAGCTGAAATGAATGATCAGCGCCTTTCTCATGGTGTTTTAGAAAACAGCGCTCCCTTTGAAAACAACTGAAAAAAAAAACACAAGCCTTGGTGGACACGTGGCCTAAATGTAACTGGCCAGTCCTTAGTGACAATCTTTTGCTTTTTTTCTAATGTAAGCCTAAGGATAGTTTAATTGTAGTTTAAATTAAATGAAACGATTTTAAAGAAACAATCCCACAACACAGAACATCACTGTTGCTATGTCACTTATAATTAGCAACTAATATACAAATATTTTATAAACAAACACACATATAAAGTACATACATGATTATAATTATACACTGATAATAAGAGTTCTTGAGAACCAAATCAGCACATTGATTTCAAGGATCATGTGACAAGATTGGAGTAACGGCTGCTGAAAATTCAGCTTTGCCCATACAGGAATAAATTACATTTTAAAATATATTAAATTAGAAAAGAGCTGTAATAATATTTCACAATATATATATATATTTCTTTTTACAGAATTCTCCAGCTTCTTGTCTATGAGACATTCTGTAAAGCTTGTCTAAATTAGCAATGTAACTAAGCAGGGCATAGCTTAGCAAGGGGTCTACTGCTATGTGGCTTGGCAACTATAAACAGCCTACAGACTTAGTGCGGGAGTACAATATATACAGCAGCTGATATATGCGGTGCTGACAGTAGTGTGTTTGATAAGCGTTGCCCTCTCCAAGTGCTAACTTGCTCTTTGTAGGCAAAAGCCTCTCCAGACTCTGTCTGAATGGACAGCACAAATACCTAAGGACGTGTCAGAATGTGATGGTTGGAATGAATGTACTGTGAAGTTGATGAGCTCGGATTGTACAGATATGTTCTGGGCTGGACAACACACAGCCTGACACCTTCTATTCAGAGAGAATCAAGTAGACATCTTGAATCAGAATTTCACAAGGAATGTGAAGGCATGTACACAGGTTAAGCTGTACTGCACAATACATGCTAGGATGTAAATTGTTTTCATACATGCGTTTTTCAATGTTGCGTGTGCCGTTAACTGGTGTGTGAGAGTGTTTGTGTGTGGTAAGACAGGCAAAGGGTCCACATAACTTCACCAAATCAGGCCCGAGAGATTAACACCAGATTTATCACCCACTGAAACTGGAGTCAGAGAACTCTCTCACACTCTTCTAACTCTCTTATCATCTCTCTCTCTATCTGTTAGGAGCAGAAATAGGCCACAGCTTTTCAGAAAGAACAGAAAGCCTTCCATTTGGCCCCTCTCATTACAGGAAGTACTGGACTGCACACATTTATCTAGATGTTTACAGCATCAGGATGTGTTAACTGCCCCTTGGTGGCCCTTAGATGCATGTCTGAAATAAATCAAATGTAAAATATTATATACAAATAAAACTTTTGCAGTGTGATTATTATTTCAATGCAAAAAAAAAAAAATATGCAATGTCCATCCTTCCTCACTACAGCACCACCTGTGTGTGGAAGTAACCAAACTGAGAGAAAAGTCTTCAAGGAGTTTATAAGGAAGTTTGATATGCAATGATTTACAAAAGTAATTGTGTGATGTTTGGGATCCACCTATCTTTCAACTTCTGCCATTATAAAGGTGCTCTAAATAATTTAGTTTTTGTGGACGAATTTTCCATGACTATATCATCTAGACTAATTTTTCCATTGACAGATTTGAAAGCTGCAAAATTTTGCAAGCAATATGTAAACTGAATTTTTCATTATATTAAATAGCTTGAAATGTTACATTCTTTCTTGTCTGCTGTCTTTGTAAAAATAAAAATAAAAAATAAAAAATGAAAAACAAAAACAATGACAAAAAACAAAAAAACAAAACTGGATGTGAAATGGAGCACCACAAAACGGGCAAAAAAAATTAAAAAAAATCCAGGGATCATTTGCCCACTGAGCAACTGATGCTGAGATGTGTTGTATTACAAATTTATAAAATGTTAAATCTAGGTTCCAATGTAATAGAATATATACTGAAAAAGTTATGTACCTTGTGTTTTACATTTTGAGGTAAAAAAAGGATGACCTTTCTAAGGAGATCAAATCAGGAAGCCCAGGTGTCTGAGATAATGACCTTTTGTCTTTATGCTCTTCCTGACCATCTGGCTTTTTAAGCTCAAAGCACAGCTGTACCTTTGTCTCTGTGATAATGCGAAAGTATGGCGATACTGTCAGACTGATTGGATCAGCACCTATGCATTGAATGACACTGTTATACTGATGAGATCAAGGCTGGGAAAATGCCTGTGTCGGGCTGATTCCTGTACTTCATTTGCATGCTATGCAATAGCAGATTACGCAGAGAATCACATACGGGAACTTCAGTCATCCATCAACATGATCAAGATTGCCGTACTTTAACAAAATCCAACGAGATATTCTTGATCTCTCAAAGAGTCTCCTGGTCTTTGCTTCGACGAGGAAAAAATTTCCAACAGATGAATAAAGGACTTTGTGAAAAACAAAAAAAAAAGATGCTTCATGCTTGGTTCGATTGCCTGGTCCGACCCGGAGTTTGATTGATCCCCCCTCCCGCTGCCCCCGCTGGTTTGTGTTCATACTGTGTTTTTTTTGGTTCCGAACCACGGTACATTTGCGTCATCAGAGAGGCAGCTGCTTACCCCTGTTACTAGGTTACGACTATGCAGAAGATGGCAAAAGGAATGGATGCCTGCTCACTTCATTTTTTACTTATGATTTTGAATCGATTAATTTACAAAACGCCAAGACAGAGCGGCACATGCATCTAATTTGTCACGACTGTAATGCAAAGCTTCAAAAGAACATGGGAGTCACTTTCTGCGAGAAGAAATGAGATATCAATTCTTTCTGCTGCAGCGCGTCAGTCACACTTATCAGGAAAGCGAGTGAGTAAACACACATATAAACAGTTTGACCAATTCATACATCATTAATAGCGATTCAATTCCGTGATTTAGTACGATTGCGTTAACATCAGAAGCGAACCGTACCGGAGTTCACATGAACTGTACCCCAGACCACCTGAGTTCAGAAAACATTATCCAATTGAACTGAACTCTGAAGTCAAACAAACACGGGTGCACACCAAAAGTGCTAGTGTGAAAGCCCCCTTACATTCTCCATAATACCAAAGTATATATGTAAGGGTGTGCTCATACTTGTCATGGTTGGTTTGATTAAAACGAACCCTGGTGCGATTGCTCTGTTAGTGCGGTTCGTTTGAGCAAGTTTGAACGCTGCCATCCAAACCCTGGTGCGCACCAAACAAGCGGACCGAGACCGCTAAAAAGATGGGTCTCGGTCCGCTTCCAAACGAACTCTGGTGCCGTTCGAATGAAATATGACCACAACACGGACCAAATACTTCTAAACGAACCAAAAACAGGAAGTAATGACAAGATGCAACGTTATGCGACATGATTTGACGACACGGTGTAACCAAAACAAAATTAGCAGAAGGCAAATGTGGAGCAACGATAAGGTAAAGTGCCTTTTATGAGCTCCTTGTGAGTTTGCAGGTGGTCAAAATAAAATTATATGTACATGCAAGAATGAGCGCGCTTAGTCCAGCAGACGGCATTATGTGTGTTCGACTTCAAGCGGCGCTGAGCAGACTGATCAGTTAATGGGTGCTTTGATATCATACACCCGCAGCGTGCTTTAAAGCTTTAAAGTCTAAAGGCTGATTTATACTTCTGCGTCGGACCTACGCCGTAGCCTTTACGCCGTAGGCTATGCGTCAGTTTTCATTTATACTTCTGCGTGTTTTTCTGTTTGGCCGATGCGTTCGTGGTGGGACTTTTATTTTGACGGCGCTGCGAAAAGCAGTGCCTGAACACACAGTGCTCACATTCTCCCTCTTGTTCACTGTCGTCGTTAACAGTTCTGTCCACGGACACAAGTCTGTCTAATAATCAGATAGAACTGCTAAACAAAGGAATTAAAATGCATACAAAAAACGATTGCTTATATATTGTTAGTAATAGAAAGGCAAACATGATAATACTTTCTCGTTTGCCGTCAGCATTCAGCAAATACGCAGTTATATAATTTAAACAAACCTTTGAATGACTAATGAACATCTAATTTCAAAAACCTTGCAAACTTAGTCGAATCCAGCTGTGAGATCTTGTGAAGTGTGCATGTGTATCCTGCACGATCGCGTGTACTCTGCGTGACGGTCGGTCTGTGTGAATTGAATACGGACAGGAGGAGAGTTCAGCTTAATTGAGACGCGCGATCGACAAACTTTAAACTCGTGATTTCAAATTATGCTGCGCTTCATGCTTTTGCC